TCAATTAATGTATGTTTTCTTTCCCCTGCAGGTAAAACACCATTATTATTCATGCCAAAGGATTTCTAAATTGTTTTATATTGCAATGTTGGTATAATTTAAATGATCATAAATCATTTCTAATCTGAATGATCTAGAAGGAAACTGAGATGATGTTCAGGTCTCTGTAATGAATTCAAAAAATGAAAAGGAGTGCCGCCAACCTATTAATGGACAGAACAGGTCCATCCTTAAATAAAATGGTGAGAGAGAGCAAAGTTTATCTCCAGGATTTCTGCTTCCCTGTCCTTTCATCTGAGGACAATCCTCCTGCCATCCTCAGTCTCACAATTCCCCAGAAGAAATAGGAAGGCACTTGGCTAAGACTTTTAAAAAATCCTGCTGAGAAGTACTTTCAAATCTCTAGAAGCTTCTTTGGTGACTAAGCAAGTGGCCATCAAAGCTTTAATTTAAAAAGGTGGACACATTTCTGATCCAGGCAGCCTAGAGAAATATAGTTTAAAGGGGGAGGAAAAGATAAAGAAAATGGACAATCCAACTCTATTGGATAAAGGCAGACTTGCAAATTATGAAATCATTGGACAAATATTTATTTTTATCGGTATGAGTCTTGAGTTGCTTAAACTTTAGACAATACACTTTCTGAGAATTAGTATTTGTACTATAGACATGTCTGTGTGTGTATGCAGACAAATGTCTGGAAGATTCCTCAGTTACCTCACACAGATGGGGAGACCTGGACGGGAAACAGACCTGGATGTCCCTGGCCATCAGGAGGTGGGCACTCGGAAGGGACTCCTCCTCACCTCCTCTATCTTTTGGAGAGACAGCCATGCTGGATTTGTTCTCAAGAGCCTCTCCCTTTGTAATTCTGAATCTAATAACCTAGATTTTGAGAAACAGACTGCTGAGGAGATAGATGGTTCCTACATGGAGACTGACCCTTGTAGAAGTGGGAGTTCTAGAACTGAGATTGGAGAGTCCAGGTTGAATCCAAAAAAACCCATGGACCTGAGGTCTGGAGAGCATCACAGGTGAGAGCCTCAGGTGAAGTGTTTAACTTCTTGGTGACTTTGTCAAGAAACGTGGGAAAGACAGCTTTAGCAGACACAGCATACGCTTCTAAAAACTTCTCCCTCATGTATTATCATTTCTCATGGTTACCTCAACACTTCAGGCTGGTCAGGAAACAACCTACATAGTGGTACAGAGATCTGAGGGACAGAACAGCGAAGAGGAGTGTGGCCTGCCCTGCAGTCACCCCTTAACTGGGCCCTTGCAGAGACAGCAGGACGTCAAGGAACTCGGTTAGGGCTTTCAGGTAAGACCGGAAGAACTGGGAGGCATGTGGAGGTGCGGGGAGTATACCGAGGTGTGACTTCTGGGAGGATAACTCAAGAAAACAAAACAAAACAAAAAAATCCTTCCTCCTTCTAAATATACCCTGAAGAAATGTGACCTTGATGCATGTGTATAGGGTAAAAGGTGGGGGATAAGAGCCCAAGAGGAAGCTAACATTACACATCCTTTCTTCTCTTCTCAACTCTTCTTATCAGTCACCTAGTGTCCTCCCTAACACCTAATACTATACTCAGGAAAGAATCTGCTCTCAATTATTTACAGCTTGATGTGAATAAATTTAAGACAGTGGGCTTCTTTCTCCTGAAGACTTCTATAGAAGTGGGTCTAGCCCTGTGGCTAGGTTAGGGTAGAAAATTTATAATAATGCAATTTGAGATGAATTGCCTCTCCCATGAGATATCTGCATCCCACTCTTGACATCTAGTTATGGATTTAAAATTTTGAAACTCATTAAAATGTATTTAACCCCAATTAAACAGAGACAAAAGTGTCTGGAGTATTTGGCTCCTAAAATCAAGCCAGGCAGTTAGCCTTCTATTCTACAGTTGGTCTTGGTCAGCCCTGGAAACAGGTAAACATCCTGACACCACAGCCTCCCCTGGGGTTTTGTTCTGATTTTAGCTGGTTTGGGACTTAAGGTAAAATCCGGGAATCAGAATGGTTGAATTTATAAAATAAGAAGGGAGGAAAAATTAAAGAGCAGTTGCCATTTGGTAGCAGAAATACACACATAGTTCAGTCCAACTTCCTTTTCAGTCTCCCCACATAAAAAGCAAACACTCTAAGTGAAATAAGCCAGAAAGAGAAAGAAAAATACCATATGAGATCGCTCATAAATGGAATTTAAAAAAAAGAAGAAGAAGAAGAAGAACATAAATACAAAACAAAAACAGACTCATAGACATAGAATACAAACTTGTGGTTGCCGGAGGGGGGAGGTCGGAAGGGACAGACTGGGAGTTCAAAATTTGTAGGTACTGACAGGCATATGTAGAATAGATAAACAAGATTACACTGTAAAGCACAGGGAAATATAGACAAGATCTTACGGTAGCTCACAGTGAAAAAAATGTGACAATGAATGTATGTATGTTCATGTATAACTGAAAAATTGTGCTCTACACTGGAATTTGACACAACATTGAAAAATGACTATAACTCAATAAAAAAAATGTGAAAAAAAAAAAGCAAACACCATACAGACAGGCACTTCCATTACTGACAGTTAATTACTCATGCTGGAGTCCCAGGGAGCGTTTATGTGTGATAAATCGTCATGAAATATGCATTATAATCGTATCAATATAGGATTGGTTCATAAGCATGGAGAGTGCTCTGCAGGTTATAGAATCTTTTCATACTTGCTTGACTCTTTATAGTCACCACAGAGCAGGTATTATTATTATTGTTATTCCTAATTTGTAGATGAGAAAACCAAGATAAAGGGTTACTAAGGATCACACGTTTTGTGTACTACGATTTTCAGACTTAATCAAAGAAGACAAATTTAATATTAAAAAGTTCAGATATAGAAATTCAGAGGCATAGATTTCAAAAGTTTCTGCTGTATAGCACAGGGAACTGTGTTCAATATCTTGTAATAACCTCTAATGAAAAAGAATACGAAAACAAATATATGTGTATATATGCATGACTGGGGCATTGTACTGTACACCAGAAATTGACATATTGTAACTGACTGTACTTTAATTTTAAAAAGAAAGTAGTTACTTCCTTTACAAAAGGATTTATCACAGGAAATTTTCATGTCACCATATTTAAAACATAATGTGTTCTTGAAGAATTTAAAGTAGACACATAATATGACAATTACAAAGTGAGATGCAGATGTACACTTGGACTCAATGTCACTGAATAGTTACACTCTTATACCAAGGAAATGGACATTTAAAAATACACAAACTTACATTCTCTCTTGCCGGTATTCCAATTCCCACTGTGAATTATTCTTATTCTGAGAATAAATAATTCCCACTGTCATAGCCACCACTATAGCCGGGACTCCTATGTAACAAAGAGAGGCATAGAATTAATAATTTACCCAAGACTGGGATTAATTATAAAACACCATGAATGAACTATACATCTGACCCTTTTCAGGATGTATTGTTCTTTCCACTATAAACAATGTACTAAATGATCCTACAAATGTAGGTCAACAGTGGACGCCGTCTTTCTGTGTTTTCCTTTCCTTTTCATTAATAGTTATACCTACCAACCCTGTGCTATTTCCAATTTCCTTGTAACTCATACCACAATCTATACTCTTAAGTGGCCTAATTTCTCTTTCACTTGAGTAAATTTAAATTTAGATAATACTAAAATAATTCTCCTTTACTAGAACACAGTACATTTTTCAAATTATTTCTCTTAAACAGTCACTCTGATTGTCTTGAAACTTTTTTTTGAAACATTTCTTTTAAAGTAGCTAGGAAGTTAATTATATGTGGTCTACATTTCAAGTCAAATCAATAGAGATGTTAAAGGAAATGAACAGCCTGAAGTTAGCCTGTGACGTATCTAGCAGGGCTGCCTTGATCACATCTGCCTTCTTCACAGAAGACACTCCTTCACTAGGCAGAAGGCACTGTTAGTGACTGCTGGATTTTCCATCTTCCCTATTTCAAGGCCTTGTACTATTTATTACACCTTCAACAGGCGTTTAAATTAAATGATTTCCACAAAATTAAACTCCTGAGTAAGTGGAGAAGCAAACACTTACCCCATCCAATTAAAGAGATGTAAAGAATGAAATGTTGAGGAAGAGGTTTCATGGTCCTAATTAGAAGGAAATAGAGCTGCGCAGCACTGATTCCTGTCCAGGTGAATGTCACTAACAGAAAATAGTGCAGCAGGAGAGCAATCGCGGTGCACGTGGGATTTGAGATGACAACAATGTCCTGTCTGAGCACTTCATTGCTACTGGAGTCAGTATTACTTGTCTTCAAGTTCTTATTAGAGTTTTCAATTCCAAACACAAAGAGGAGGTTGAAAATCAACATTGATGTGCACAGACAGACCAACACCCAGGTTACTGAAGTTTTTCTGACTTTTCTGAAAATAAATAAGCAAATACAATTGAATGAATAAACAAAACAACTGCAAAAAAGAAAAAAGCTCTATTGAAACAGTGAGGGAACCAAAGAATTTTATCCAATGTAAATCCAACTCATGGCCCAGTGGGCCAACTGGTAAACCTACTCAGAGCAGCACACTCTCCTCTTCTCTGACTTCCACAAAAAAGCGACTTAGAGAAAGTAGGCTGATATGTCCTTTTCTGAAAGTGTGTTCTAATCAAAGGTGACAGCTGCTCTCCAGAGATGGCCCTCCGTGGACTCCACTTCCGGTATTTGTGTCCTGTGGAGCCCCCTCCCAGGGCTGGCCTGTGACTTGATATAACTAACAGAATGCAGCAGAAGGCCTGACAGCCAGGGCCATCAGACACAGCAGTGCTTAGCATCCACTGTATGTTTGTACTTCTATGGCCCACAGCAAGGTCTTCTAATGTAAAACATACCCGAGGACTGTTCCTTCATCTAGAGATAACAATTTCTAGGTGTAGAACCCACTCTTTAAAACTCATGACATGTCACAATTCTCTGTATATTATGGTATACAGTCCTGTAATAAAGGAAGTTGTAAAATTTCCATTCACTACCATCTAGATCCTTCTGGATTTTTCAGACTTCAAGGAATCTTGGAATATCTCTTTTCCCTATTACTGTGCTTAAAGTTCTAACATCTTCAAGTACTTGTCTGTTTCCTCATGTCTCAAATGTGATGAGCAAGTCTGTTTGCTAAAATTATATAGCCTTTATGATTTTATACCATGACCTTTCTCAGTCTTTGGATTTCCACACTGAATAAAGAGCTTATAGCTTAGCGGTAGAGTGCCTGCTTAGCACGCAGGAGATCCTGGGCTCAATCCCTAGTACCTCTGTTAAAAAAAAACAAACCCTAATTACCTCCCCCCTAAATAATTAATTTTAAAAAAACTTTTTTTATTTTTTAAGATCTTATATTAAAACAGAACTCTGTCCTTCTTGATATTTCAGTTGAGATTTTCTGGATAATTCAAAATTTCATTAAGTCTTTTGAAAAGTTTAATGATCAGAGCTGCAAAAAATATTCAGAAGAATCTGTTTATATATAAGTAAAGTTAGTTTCTAATTTTTCTCCAATTTTGAATATAAATTATAATCCACAGAGAGGCTAATTTCAGACAGGCTATTTTCAAGTGGGTCTTCTGTATATTACTATATTCTGTGCATTTTTATTATATGCACAGAAATATATAACATATATTATATGTATAATTATATATATTATCTATGGCAGCAAAGCAGTGCTAAAAACATACTACAGAAGATGCAAAAAAATATGATGACAGTTGGAAGGAGTGAGACTTGAGGCAAAGAAACTAGTGATGCAGTTTCCACAACTTATTCACATGGGACCAAATAATCATCTGTTCAAGTGTCTTTTCAAATGAAAGATAGATACAAGAACCATTTCATTTTACATGGCAGACTTGTAATTATATGGCATGTAATTTTCCTTCCAGGCACTCACCACAATTTGTAACTACGTACTTATTTCCGTATATATTTGTACAATGTCTGTCTTCCCTTCTGAGAATTTAAATTCCATAGGAGATGGGAGTTTATCTGTCTTGTTCACAGTTTTGAGTTCAGCTCCTCACATGTTGTTTGGCACATAGTAAGCCCTCAATATAAAAACTTTAAATGAGTGGCAAGAGACTCATTAAGTGTGAAAGGTAATGAAGAGAATCAGAAATAATTCTTGCTCTTTGGACAAATGGCTAATGCTAAATACGGGGCAGAGAAACTGGCAGATGTGCTTGGATCATCTTGCTGTGCCTGAAATAAGAAAATGCTTCTAGACTGATAGGGACATGACAAAACAACATGAAGGACTTCCTCTGGCTTGGAGAGAGAGAGTACACTTCTTGACGCAGGAATACAGTGACTAGATACAGAAAGAATGACAGATTAGAAGATCATCGTGCAACCACCAGTGTAATAATATATTCTAGTAAGGAACATCAGTGAATATGGAAACCACTGAGTAAAAGCTGGGGAACAGGATACTGACACAGTCTTAAAGAACCACCTCATGGATTACCTATTATTTACAAAGGGAAAAAAGTGAGACTTCACAGTGTAGAAATCTGGCAGACGCTACTTTAAACAAGGATGCAAACTTAACACACCAGTAATGGGACAAACTGACCTCATGCACTTCCTGCTGTGTCATAGTAAAAAGACTTAATAATGATTAGAATTCTCACCAAAAATATTTAACCTGTATCTAATTAGGAAATTTTCAGACAAATTTTACATCATAGAATATTCTACCTTCTATAAAATAACTAACCTGAATACGTCAAATATTTGAATATCATGAATGGCCAAAACAAATAAAAAAAGCAGAGGGATTATTCTAGGCTAAAGAAGACTAAAGAGATATGACAGCTAAATAAAGTGAAGGGGGAAGAAAAACCAGCAATAATGGACATTACCGTACAACTAGAGAAATCTAAATATGATTTTTAACACAATAACATTACATTAATGTTAAATCTTGAGTTAAATTTTCTGAGTGAGGATAATAATCTTCTACTATGTAGGAGTGCCATTGTTCTTAGGAGATACATACATGCTTAAAGAATTTAGAGGAAAGGGTATAGCTCAGTGGTAGAGTGAGTGCCTAGCATGTACCAGGTTCTGGGTTCAAGCTCTAGTTCCTCCATTAAAAAAAAAAACTAATTACCTCCCCCAACAAAAAATATTAAAAAAAAAAGTCTGGGGGGAGGGTATAGCTCAGTGGTAGAGTGCCTGCTTAGCACGCACAAGGTCTTGGGCTCAACACATAGTATCTCCATTTAAAAATAAATAAATAAACAAATCTAATTACCACCCTTAAAAAGAAAAAAAATTTTTTTTAAGAATTTAGAGATGACAGTCATGATGTTTACAACTTACTTTCAAAATTTCAGGGAAAAAAACAGAAAAAGAGAGAAACAAAATACTAATAATTGGTGAATCTAGGTGAAGGATATATGGGTATTCAGCATTCTCTTTCAAGTTTTCTGCAGATTTTTAATTTTTGTAAATAAAACTTCAGGAAAAACCTTTAAAACAAAAAATTCCTGAATCTACACATCTGAGAAAGCAGTGGTGAAGGAATTCAGTAGGGAGAAGTAATTCTGAAGGAAAGATGAATTCATAGCGAGACATCTTGAGTTTGAGACGAGGACCAGGTGGGAATGTGCAACAGACCCATTTACTCCATGGGTACTCTTCTATGCTGGGCCAGGGATTGTGCTCCGCCCTGGGGATGGAGTTATGAAAACAAAACAGGACAAGCAACAACAGCAACAACAAAATCAGAGGCGGTCACTTTCATCATCAATGTATCCTTACAGGGAAAGCAGTAGGCAAGCTAACAAATGAACAAGCTCACATTTACAGATTGTTAAAAATGTAGCATGTGATAAAAAATAACGAGTGCTGCACAAAATTGGGCCTTGACTGAAGGGGTCAAGGTGGAAAGAAATCTGCGTGTATAGGTAATTTATTAAATTAGATTTTTTTTAAACTGTGTAATTCAAAACCTTTCAAAAGGTTCACCACTTGAAAACTTAATATACTTTAAAATTTACTTTTATTTACAAAAACTTGCTGTTTAGCAATGCTTCTTTCATAGCTGTAAATTGGTAGTTATGTTTCTATTCAATACTAAGGAACCGTGGCATTAATGAGCTAGGGGACCATATTAATTTTATCTGACAAACTTGTAATTACAAGGTATGTAACTCTTCTTCAAGGTACTTAACCACAGTTTGTAATTATATGTTTATTTGTACGTATTTCTTAGCCTCTCCAGGACCCAGCGTCCTACAAAATGAGTGTGTTGAACCAGATCTGATTTCTCTCCTAGGTTCCAAGAGACTATATTCTGGTGAGAATATGCTCAGAGGAAGTAATATCAGGATAGCAATTTCTCTCACGAGAGGAGCCTGCTTCCCTTCTTACCTGGTGACAACCTGAAATAGAACTGTGAGAACCAGACCAGCAATGGACAGCGCACATCCAATGGTGGAAAACACGTCTAGTGATTTAGGATATTTATAGTCTTTTTTGAAACTCTGGAAAATAAGTTAAGACTCATTATTTTTAAATAACCATTCCTGAAATGTCTATGAAAGTCAACATCATGAAGAGACACATTGGTTCAAATAGCCAGATTTTTTTTTAATGTTAGGGTTTTTTTTTTTTTTTTTTTGGTTAGGGGAGGTAATTAGATTTATTTATTATTTTTAGAGGAGGTACTGGGGATTGAATCCAGGACCTCATGCTTACTAAGCACGTGCTCTACTATTTGAGCTATACCTCCCCCTCCAAATAACCAGATTTATTGGTCAAAATAGCTAGATATGTCTTTTTTATATAAAGCTGCGATATATTTTAAAAGGAAATAAATTAACCCCTTATCTCCAAGCAGTTTACATGAAATAGAGGCTTGAGAACAGTTATCTATCTAATTCAGTCTGGGAAAACATATATACTATTCGTCGATGTCTAAAACCAAAGTTGTTTGCATTAGATCTAAGTTGGCTAGAGTTGCTTTATTTACCCATTACATTATCTTTATGTATAACTATAATCCAAGGGGAAATCTGCATAGCTAAGCTAATGCACTAAAAATAAAGTTGCAGAAATACTTTTATGGTCATAGAAAGATGTTTTCACATGATCCTGTTCATTTTTTTGGAAAAGGAGATCTAACTTTTATGTAATATATATATATTACGCCTATATTTTAGTTATATTCACAGGAAAGTATACTCCATGTGAGGATGTACTCTTAGAAATTGGAAGAAGCAATAAAGTATCCCTGGGTGGGTAGGATGTAGGAACATAATTATTTTTGCTTATCTGTACTTTCTAATGTTTTAAATTGTTAAAAATTTAAAAAGCTGCATATGCTTATTCATAAAACATGAAAGTAATATAAGACATAATTTTTTTAAAGTGCACATTCCCCTTGACTGTCAGTATCCCCCAGTTTTCCTCTTGAAATCCTCTCTCTTCTCCAGAGGTGATCTTTTTTTAGGTAGTCATAAATATTATCTATGTCTCTTGCACAAATATACAGAAGTTTGTTAACATAACAGGATTATTCTCAAATTGCTATTTTAATTTAAGATATCATACACATTTTCTCATATCAGTATACTTCTGTTTAGTAAGTAGACTTTCATTCTACATGCAATAAGTATGTATTTCTTTGTAGAAAGAAAAGAAAAATAAACTTCACTTAAAAAATAATAAAACAAAAATTTCATGTTACTTCTTATGTGCAGTATGCTAAGCAGATGACAAAGAATCACAGAATACATAAATCTTCAGATTTCTTAGAAATCATCTATTCACTCAGCCTCAATCTGCTCTTACTTTACATTTAATTCTAGGGCAGGGTATAGTTCAGTGGTAGAGGGCATGCTTAGCATGCATGAGGTCCTGGGTTCAATCCTCAGCACCTCCATTAAAGAGTAAGTAAATAAACCTAATTACCTCCCCACCGCAAAATGTAATAAAGTAAAAAAAAAAAAGTAAATACATATAATCCTAATCAGACTTTTTAAAATTTTGCATCACAAAACTAATTACAAACATGAGTAGGTAGGCACTGAAGTAGATTCAGATATTGGTAAGAATAGTTGAAAGTCTGACCTCAAAAAAGGAGAAAGATAACTATGACAACAGAGTCTGTATCATTTACTATGTAAAGCAATCTGAGCTTTTCACAGCTATTCGATGATACTAATGATCTTAAGACATCAAAAAATTTAAAATTTTATCTTTACTATTTTCTGAGTGTGAAAGCAGATCTCACTATAGTACAAGTTAGAAAATGAATAATTAAAATCAATTTTAAAATATTTGGTAATTAAGATAAGAAACTATAGTTATCTCAAAAACATATTAAAAGCACGTTTCTATAATCTGCTCCCCACTGGCTTCCCAAATATAGGTACATCTCAGCTACTGGGAAATGAAAACATCTGCTTCTTTTTGCAAGATTCATAGCGTTACCGGCCCCTTCGAAAGGATAAGACACTTGACATCCCTCCCCATTCCACTGCACGTAAAAACATTCCATCCAGGATATAAACTAACGTCTTTGTTTTCACCGGAATAATACTTTCTGGAGAACAAATAGGGTCAGTCCAAGAACTCTGAGGCGTGTAAACAGCTGCACACCAGAGATGACTACTATCAGTTGTACAGGGTAGCATCAGAGTTACAAGGAACACACAGAGGAACTATGGGACAAGTGGAATTAAAGAGCTTTTTCCTCTTCTATCTTATACCGTAAATTTAGCAATTTAAATGATTACAGTGGAAAAAGTTTCGGGTAACTGACTTAAAGTACCCACCCATTGTTAAGTACATACTAAACCTGTCCTCAACACATAGCTACACAGCCTCACCTCTGGCTGTAGCACCTTCATGCTTCAGACACGTGCGGTAATGTAACTGAATGGGTCTGTCAACTCCTCTTTTGCACATGGGCTCCCTTCTCATTCTTAAGTACACTGTACTAAAAGCATCCATCCAGAGACCATACTGCAAAAAACTCTATTCTACTTGCCTTTACCAGAACTTCCCTTTTTAGTCCTGTAACTCCATTCCCTGTTTTTCCATTTAATCTGAGTTGAGTATCTACGTAAACTAACCCCCAAATACTCTCCAGTCAGCACATACCAGAACTGTGTACAAGGAAAATTCTTGTCCAGGAAGAGACACACCCTTACCATTAATACAGCAAAATTAGTAGTGTGGCTGCAGTGGCAGTGCAGGAACCGGTCAGTGACTCCTTTTTTGTGACAGCCATATGTATCCCAATCCTTCATGGAAAAATTCCAATAGACGCAGGCATAGGAATGAAGCTGGAATTCTGTTTGGTTGTACTGTGAATTGATAAGACAATTGCAACTGATTTTTCAAAATGCTTAACTGTAGGAGAAATTAAATAGGCTAAGACAAGCATATGAGATATCAACTGAATATGTACAAAGCATAGCATCTTCATTATAGATTAGGGAGAGGGAAAAGGATATAAAATTCAAATTAGTTAGTTTTGCATTTAGCTAATCTGACAAAAATATGGATGGGGGAAAACTTAAGTGAATAATGTCAAATAATCTTTCAAAGAGCCATCCTGTGGATTTCTTTTGTCCACACTATCCCTGCTTCTGTAATCAAGGGTGGGCTGAATTTTTTTATTTTTGTTAATGGGAAAACTCACCCTTGGACTGAAGACCATTTCAACAGAAGCACTCTGATCTTCCACGTCTTCATCAGTTTTGCTTGAGATAATTTTTTGACTAAAATTTGATTGAGTTATAAAAGTTTTTGATTGGAAAAGTTTGTTGTTTTGATACACTACAAAGCCACATGCCTTGGCATTAGCTGTGAGGGGAAAAAAAGACACTAAAATCAGTAAATGAACTCTAGGGTAAGTAAGAAACAAAGCCCCAAGCCATAATTGAACTACATGACTGCTTAATATTAGAGTGAAGTACAGAAAAAATGGTTTGCTAGCTGCCTTTGCTTAATTACAGTATGCAATTAGCATATATAATCTGTGCTTGGCCATTCGACCCACATTAATTTTTTTCCCTGATGTTAAGATTTCTTCTGTTCTAAGTGGGAACCACAATTCCTGCCTAACAACCTCAAAAAAATGTTGGAAGGCTCTCACGTATAAGGTAAACATTCTTGCTTTCTATGCAGTAAGACAGAGTGAACACAATGTACAGGTAGCTCGAGCCACGTTGTTTCACCCACTGGCAAGACCCAGAACAAGAAACAGCAAAGGGTGAACATCAGCACAGCTGTGTCTAGAGAATTGCTCTGTGAGGTCTGCCTCCTACTCAAAGGGACTGAGTGGGGACCAGTCTACTAAGGCACAGAGTCAGAGCTCACGTTGCGCATATCAGGGACTCCTTCCGTGGAGCCATAGACCTTTCATCATCTCATGAACTACTGGTCTCCACTACTTCATGACAATTATTGGCTTTTCCCAAGGATGGAAGATTACTGTGACACATTTCTTCAGGACATTGGAAAAAGTAGTCAGCTGTTCCTCAAATAGATCCCAGAAGAGCATGGCTGCAGCACAGGGCTTTGCAGTCAGGCTGCCGATGGCAACGGTCAAACAGAACCACCTAAGGAATGCCTCCTGACACTTGATACAACTCTTGGCCATATTTAAGATTACAGAAGCAACAACAATAAATATACACTTTAGCTGAATTAATTCCCTAAATTCTGCTGTCTCTTATAAGCGATATAAGGGAAACTAATACAGAGGTGGTGAGATCAGCCTAATCAGTCTTGTGCTTTGAAAGACTGGCAGGCAAGGCCCTGACAGCCCCCAAAACATCCTCCACAGCCAGCCACTCTGCTCTGTCCTCTACTGGGAAATAAGGACGTTGGTTTCTGAGGTGTTTTCATGGCACACTGACCTCACCACACTGTTCCTCTTTTAGGGGTGACAAAGTTACCCCTAAAAATGTAGGAAGACTTCTTTTTAATCTTATTTTTGTAAAAGAATGACATGCTTAATGTGAAATTCCAAACTATACAAGTATATAGATTTGAAAATGAAATTCCATACCCACCCCCTCCTCGTTCCTACAGTATTTCGGTCATTTATTAGAAACTCATCATTTCATCTAGATAATCAGATTCATTAGACTAAATTATATTTACCGTTATCTTGTAATTTTTAAAACTCTATTATTTCTAGATATAACCTTCTATGATATTTATATATGTTCTCTCTCTTTTCTTGATCAAATTTGTCAGAAGCTTGTCTATTTCATAGTCTTTTCATGGAATCAATTTGTTATTTTGTTGATAAAGTCCAGCATTTGTTAATTTCTATTTTTATTAATTTCTGCCTTGTTATTTATTAACTCTTTCCCTCTGGATTTCTTCACATTTATCTTATCTTTTATGCTTCTTTAGCTGAGAGATTATTTTTTAACATTTTCTTTTATTATCTAATAAACTTACTACAGAGCATACATTTTCCTTTAAATACATCTTTGCCCACATTGGTTTTGATCTATGGAGTTCTCACTGCAAGTAATTTTCAAGTAATTTGTACTCTGCCTTTTAATTTCCTTTCTAACAATGGTGTTTTAAAATTTGTAACTGGATAACATTTTGGCTATTCTTTTGTGGTACACTTCTAGTTTTATTGCATTATGGTCATGAACTATGTCCTGTGTAACTTTTATTTTAGAAAACATATAAGTTTTTCTACGTGGCCTAATAAATGGTCAGTTTTTGAAGCACTCCATGGATATTTGAAAATTATTTTCATTATCTATTTTCTGTCTACAAACAAAATTATACACACACATATATATAAAAGTCAAGTTTATTATTTTATTTTTTTTGTCTACTTGATTTTCAATTTCTGGTACAGCTGCATTAAACTCTCTCCCTATAATACTGGTTTGGTCAGCAAACCCCTGTATTTCCAATAACTGTTGCTTATGCATTTCAATAGTGTCTTTTTAGGGGAAGAAAGAATTAAAGTATAGATAATTTTGGAGTCTTTTTAAACTCAACATAAAAACATGTTCCTTTCCATCTAATCTGAGTCTTTGTCTCTCAACAGTGTTACTTCAACCCATTTGACTATATTAATAGTTTATATAAAACAAAAAATTAAATCCCTATCTTTCACCAAACACAAACATAAATTTTAGGTGCACTGAAGACCTAAATGTAAACACAAACACTAAAAGCCTTCAGAAGAAAATATAGGAGACTATCATTGTGACTTTAGCATAGCAAAGAATGTTTTTTAAGTACCAATTATAGATGAAAAGATCGATACCCGGACTGCATTATAAATTAAAATTTGAGCACGACAAAACATATGAAACACCAAGCAAACAACAGCTACACACTGGAGGGAAGATATCTGCAACTTACATAACCAATAAGGAATCACTAACCAATTAGAATATATAACCAATGAGAATTTTAAATTAAGTCTCTCTAAAATATGTACTTTCTAGCATTGGATATTTTCATTTGGGGAGAGAATAAAAGTAAATGTATGGGTTTGCTGTTATTACAGTCAAATTAATTAGTCAAATTTTTTTAGACTCTGAAAAGCACAAACATTTCAAGTTAGACATAAGAATTTACAAAGGGCCATATGCAAGATGACTAGGAGCTCATGGTGGACACTAGACTAGGGGAGAGAACTGAAAATTGGTACTGCTAGATGATGACTCTGCCAATTACATAAAATATCCCAAGGACAGATCTATAGGGTAAATTTGAGCCTGTGAGTACCATACCACTAGTAAAAATGGGCAAAAATGTGACTACATATTTTTTAAGGTATTTTGAAGTTTAAAACTGAACCACTTTACTAGCTAGATTTTTGTTAGTAGACAGATTAATGTACACAGTCACAGCATTTCAATTCTGCTACCCTCCAAAGGGTTTTTGAAAAGAAGGAAAGGGGGTAAAAAACAAAGAAATCATCTCTATGGCCTAGAACAGTAGAGGTGAGATTACCATAATTTGTCAGAGATCAAACATACTCAACCACAAATTAATCAGTGTGAAACTAAGTGAACATTACTTCTCCCTTAATGGATTCTAAGTTATTAACTCCATGAATTTGAGTGCATTTCTTAATGTCACATAGTATGAGACCTACTTTTCGAGGTGTTGAGCAAGATCTGAAGTTCGGCCTGTTCATTCAGATTTAGTTTGTCCACGTTTGTATTTAGAAGTATGGAACCAGAAACCAGAGAATTGCTAGTTCCTATGAGAAGGAAAAAAGTAGAATTTTATAAAAGTCTACATTTTCATCACTAGAATAGAGCATTTTATTCACAGTTGGTAGCAGAATGCTCTCTGCTATTACAGGAATGGGAAACAAGATAGCTCACCTTTCAGCACAGTGAAGAGAACACCTGCAGGCCCCACAGCACCTTGTGAAGAGAAATTAACAGATTGTATTGCTATATTAGGTTGCACCACTGATGTGGTGTTGCCCAAAGACACGGAATACATCTCCATTTGCTCAATAAGCCTGCATAGAATAAAACACAACAAAATATTCTAGAGATCCGTCATAAAACTGGTTGTGTGTGTTTCACATTCCAGTAGAAAGGCATGACCACAGAACTCACGCAATCACAACAACATTGGCACAATCCCCTGAAAAGAACTGATTTTCTTTTCTAGAGTCTTGTTTTGTTATATGCTCCTTTTTCTTAAGTTCTGGTGGACTGTCCCCACTGAAGGGTACCTTGGACATAGATGCTAGAAAGCTGGAGTTCAAGAATGACAGATTTCCCAATGGGAATAGTCTTTATTACACTATTCTTCCCACGAAAGGATGACGTTGCCACCCACCATTGGCCAGGCATACGATTCTTATTTCTCCAGCGGTGAGACTCAATTTCCACTTCGTCAACTCCCTCCTCTCACCCAAACCCCTTGGGTTCCCAAGCATCTCCTGTAAGTTCATACGGAACTATGGGAGAGCAGAGCTCTGAGCTATGCTGCAGGTTTTCATAGCATTACTTTCTACTCTGGATAAGTTCAAAGATGTATTAGATGGAAGACAGGGACTGGGGGCAGGGTCTGTTAATTTGGTGTTCTCCAAAGATGAGTCCTAAGACTGTTTCTTTTTCTTGTTTCCCATAAAAAAATTTGTACTCTTTCTGTACTTGACAAAACAAAATATCTCTATGATAACTGGTTCAATCTAGTTTTCCCAGAAATGAAAGAATTTCATTAAAATGTAACGGTTCTTATTATGCCTTTTTGCTTCATCTCTTTTAAGAAATAGATGTTACAGTCTAATTGAAGCCCCCTTTGTAATCCTTCTGATCTCATCTTATTCCCTCCCCAAAGTGCAGATAGTTTTCAAGAAGAATGAGAGCTACTGAGTCATCACATTGGGATTATTATTATCACTGGTTTTCGCTTCATGTGAAATATAACAAAGCTCTGTTCAACAACTAAAAAAAAGTGATTGTTCTTTATTCTAAATCTTTATTTCTGCCACTAAAATATCTTTCTCCTTTCCCAAGGGAGACTTTTTTAAAGAGCTATATTTTTAAATAAAGATCACTTCATATATGTGATAATAATTCATATGGAAACAGTCAAGTCAGCTTCTCTATTTCAAAGGTTTTCCTTTGAAAAGGTTTTCAGTACATCATTTTCTATAATTTTCAGCAACTCATACTTTGTATTTCCCACTTAATGAATAACAATCATACTCTAGAGCTGCTTTCAACAGGAGGAATACCTAACAAAACTCCAATCTGCTAACAACACAATTCATGCATTCATTCAACCAACAGTATCTGTTGAGCACCTACTAAGAGGTCAGTACCCATGAAACACTGAGGATACTAAGGGGAGCTCCCTCAGACATTTGAAGGCTAAAAACCTGCTAGATATATAGGGGTGTTTGCCACTTTTAAAGGGTTGCTCTAGCCACAGTCACTTCTAAGGCCATTTTTCCTTCCTCCTTTTATCACACTTGATTAGATCACAGGCGCATGCCTGTCTCTGAGTTCCCAATCTGGAGGCCAGAAACGTAAGCAAATCCTTTTGAAAACAAGACTGGCATCTTGCCAGGTTTTTGACCTAGAAATGTCTTTCTCAAGGACCTGGGAACCATCTCTTTGAAATGGAAACACCAAGAGAGTTAGCGCCCCTATGGCCCACTTTCCGTAGGAGGGTAGGAGCTTAATTAACTTCGGTGGGTGGGCACCTTGCTCCAAGTTGCAAAACTACCCTTTTCCTTTCATAAAGATATGAGAGTTTGTTTTCCCTCTGGTAAAGTCAATTAGCTAACACAAACGGCCACCTCAATTACCAGGTTAACATAGGATAAACTATGTATTAGAAGTAGAGCTGTCAAGCTCTCTTAATTAAGGACTAGTTATTGTCTATCTGAGAACATGTTTGTAATGAGTTGCATCTGCTTGGCTACATAAAGAGATCAGACTCCTCTCTGTCTTTGCAGGCGCTCAGGGGTTTGCCTGTGCTGCGTGTCACATTTAATGCCTTTAATGGTTTAATGCCTACCCAATCAGTGTTTTCTTTCTCTACTGTCTTTGTAGGGAGCATTTCTGGGTTGAGAGAAGATTTTGTTTTTAAGTATATCTCCCCAATATCATGATCAGGCTTAAATTATGAGAGAGCAGAAACTGTAAGTCAAGATGAGACATACATGTTTATTGAGTCATGTTAATGATAAAGACAACTGCTAACCTCCTTTTTTAGGACTTACTACGGATAAGTCAGATATTATGCCAGTGGTATATATGATCTCATTTGAGCATCACAAGACTCCCACTGAAGTGAGTGCCCAAACTGCTCCCATATTACATGGAAGAATCTGAGGCTCTTCAGAGAGATATGAAGTAATTTGGTTGCTGCATGTAGCCACTAAACAACAATGCTAAGGTTTGAACCCAGAACTGACTCCAACAGCCACAACTGTTACATTATCCCAGAGGGAAGACCCACAAACTGCTCTACTGAGACCTTCAAAGCTGCCTTGGATGCCCCACTACACCCCTGCTCCAGGGTCCGTGGGGCCCACCTGTATTATGATCCTGTTCTTAGGTTCCCATGAGATTTCATTTGCCTCTTTACAATAAATCCCTTTTGGTTAAGGTAACTTAAGTGGGTGTAGTGTAAGCAAAGAAACATGCTGGAACAGAAATGCAAAAGAAATGTGCAAGGTGAATGTACAAGGTGGCCAATCCTAGGGAAACAGTTTAAGTATAAATATAAAACCAAAAGTAATCTACAACATAGGAATCGAAAAGAAAGAAAGCAGATAGAATTGCATCCTTGTTTGTTTGTTTTTTTTTCAATGTAGCCTTGGGAAAGCTAAAGAAAGCTTAATCAAAATATACCAAGATCTCAGTAAGTGCTGAGCTGGGTGAGAATGGATGGGGATCGGGCGGGGGCTGTCACCATGTCTTGCAAAGTTATGCTGTTATTTGCAGCTCCATGCACGGAATCAGGAGTTGGAAGGGCTCCCACTGTGCATGCAGTTGTCTCTGGGCCATGACAAACTAAGGCTGGGAAAACAAGACCTACTCTAAATCATCCCAGTTATGCTTTATCTCCCAGGCCACAGTCACCCCTGGAATGAGGAGTTAACATTTAGCACTCCATCTAGTAACTGAAGATCACCAAAGCTTTAGTCTGCATTTCAGAGTAGTCAGCCATTTAGTGCATCCATGAGAGAAATAAAGACATCTCTCCGTTAACGCTTTAACCTAGGAAAGGAAACAGCATTTTGTTCGATTTTCTTTCCAAATTGGAAGTGGGCTTACGTTGCAAAGGAATCTTCATTATCAGCAGCAGCAGCTCTTTGAAAAACACCTTCGCTGGCATCTAGAATTTGACTCACTGTTGTTACAGCAACTATTTTTGCCTGCCAGAAGAAGGCACCGATCAGAGAAGACACGTATCATCATCATCATCCCAATAGTTATCATGCATTATTATGGCATCAAGTAGCACCATTGTACGGTAATCTGGAGGTGTTTGTCAAAACCAAAGGCTTAGTTTTTAACCCACGTAAGATGGCAGAGAGAATAAAGATGCAGCACAGTGAATGAGTCAACTAGGTTTGGGTCTCTGAATTTGACCTCACAGAAAAGTCTTTTGCAGAACCTTCCCCCCACCCCAGCCCCAAGAACACAAAAGCAGATGCTGAGATACAGAAGCAGAAACAAAATAAGAAGAGCGCAGGGCTCTTCAAACCATTATAGTCCGCAGTACTCAGTGAAACGTATTAGTTAGACTTAGTGTAACTATTATATTTAGTACCTTTTAGACTTAGTAAAATTATTTCTAGTTTTCTTGTAATTAAAAATTTAGGAGTACATCAGAGAGGATCTCTTGGCATTTGATTACAGTTTAACTGTCTTCTTTTGGAGGTACTGATACCCTTCTGTCCTTACAGGCTAACCCTTCCAAAAATTCTACATTTGGCGGTCATTATTTTTCTTCAATTCCATTTTTATTAACTTGTGATTTGAATCCCACTTTCTTTCTATAGGACCTAGGGTAACAAAAATAATTTTTTGAAATAAGACTTTTAAAGGGAATAGAAGAAAGGAGTGGATAGTTTCAGGCCATGCTGATACCCAGCTAGGAGACACTGGGTCATTCCATATAGGTGTTTTACAGCCCTGCTAGATCAGTACCCAAGCTGTGCCAATTGGTAAATGCTGACTGTAGTTTTTATTTTCAGGTACCAGCGTTTAACAAGTTATGGTATCAGAACTGTAAACTACAGTTAATGTTTTTGGAAAGCCAAAACCAAAATGCAAATATGTTTAGCAGAAAGGGATCACAGTTTAAAATAGTGTGTTCCAAAGTGAGTTTCTTAGAACTCTAGTTACTTGGAGTTGAGTAGTGATTGTTGAGGTCAATTGCAGTTGATAAACATTAATAAAGTGAAATAGACTTGTTCAGAAGATTTAGCTTTCCAGAAGACTTAACAGATCGATTTTCCAAAAGACTTTAACCTCCCAGAAGATTTAACTTAATGATGACCATTGTAACTATCCTAAAAGAGAATATCTGGACAAGAAGCCCTTTTATATTTCTTTGAGTATCTCTCAGAAAGAGTGCTCTGCAAGATGGTTTTAAGCAACCTAAACTATGCCCAAGTCCATACTGTGGAATAAGGACTGGAGTTTGGGATGTCTTTCTTTCTTCCCCTCCCCCTTTTTAAAACCATGTGAGTTTTACCTCAGGTAAAGCATTTCTGGATGCATTAAAAATCTGTCCGGCCACTCTAGTAGCAGAAGTGATGTTCTCAGGAGTTAATTTACTGGCATCAGATGTTAAAATCTGGGTTTCATCAGAAATATTTTGCGATTGTGTTGCAATGTTGACTATCTGTTAAAAAAAACAAAAAGCCCTAACTTTATACAAGTATATCTTAACACTTTGCAAGCAACTTCAGATGAATAAACTGGAATTTAGGTGATCCTCCATCTCCTGAACATCACGTGCACTGGGTTTTTCAAATTTGCTTCTTTCCTTGCATAAAGGACAAAGTACATGCAGGCCAGTGGCTTCCCAGCCCTTACTACCTGTCAGAATTAAGACAGGTTGTCTTAACTAGACCACTGCTCCTCAAGGTGTGATCCGTGGACCAGTGATGGCCGACTGCTGATTACAGGTTCCATCCGGAGATAAGCACAGAACCTGAGAGAAAGTGGTCTGAAACTTACATTAACAATTCTATGCTGTTTCATCTAAT